GCCTCAAAACTGAACCAAAACTAACCATATAGACAGGTTTTTAGTGTTACCTCACAGGTAAGTCTAGTGCCAGCTGTTACATAGTTATGGCAGAATCCTGTATTGAGTGAAGTTACAGTTGTGTTATTGTAGGAATTTATCAGTATTGTGATGTTTTTAGTGACATTTTTATATAAAGACTCATCTTTCTTACCTGTGGCCAAAGAAGAGTCCTCCAAGAACAGTAAACATCTCGTTTCCAATATTAGTTTAATTTTTTGTGCTACTTTTCCCCAGTGAGAATTTTGATAGACGCAGAAGGTGATTTATGTTCCTGTGCTTATTAAGAGACATTTTCTTGCAAAACTTCGGAATATCCAGCAAGATTGTCTGGTAGATATAAGGGATTTCTGTACAGGAGTAATCTTGTATATAATACTTTTCTATTAGAAATTGTTGAAGAGGGAATAAAAGACCCTAGTGGACAGTCTTTTCTCAAGTGTGGTGTGCTTTGTGAATCTGTCTGCTCTGCATGTACCCAAGCTGTTCGCCCCCTATTTTTTACCTCATCTGAATGAAATATTACAATGACCAACAGTGCTGCATTGTATCTGTTTTAACATCATCTGAAATGCCTGTGTCGAGGCGCTGGCACAAGGTGCCCAGAGAAGCTGTGGCTGCCCCATCCCTGGCAGTGCTCAAGGCCAGGTTGGACACAGGGGCTTGGAGCAAGCTGCTTCAGTGGAAGGGGTCCCTGCCCGTGGCAGGGGTTGGAGCTGGAGGAGCTTGAAGGTCCCTTCAATCCAACCAACTCCGGGATTTCGTGAACCAGCTCCAGCTGGAGTCTGTGCTCCCCCAGGCGGGCAGGCCAGCGCTGCCGCCCGATTGCCGGTCTCGCATGCGCAGCGTGCGGCCGGCGGGGTGTTGAGGGTGCAGGCGTGGCTCCGCCCCGCCGCTCTCGCGAGAGGCCGGGATTTATTGCTACGTGCGGTGCCGTGCTGCTCATGGCGGCGCTGGAGCGGGGGCGCTGAGCTGTTGGGGTGAGTACCGCTCGTGCGGCGCCGTGGCCGCTCCCGGCCGCCCGCGGGCAAGCGAGGGGACACTGCGGGCAACCGGGAGGCGCCGAGAGGCGTAGAGGGCACCTCCGGGTCCGCCTCCCGTTTGTCCCTTGTTGCAGCGGGTTTAGCGGGGCGGAGGTGCCCGCAACCTCCCGTCGGCCTTGCGGAGCGCGGCGGGGACGGATGGGTGGTGGGCACCTGCGTTGTAGGCCGCCTATCCCGGGGATGGGTGTTGTGCTAGTGGTCGCGGGCCGCTGGGCCGTGACGGTGTGCGCACTACGCTTCCCGGCGCCCCCCGGGCAGACGCCCTGCCGCCGGGTCTCCTGGGGGCTGGAGTTCCATCCGGCCGCGCAGGCGGGGCCGATGCGCCTCTGGAACTCGTCTTCCCGGCGGGCAGCGCGGCCCGGCGAGCTGCGGGGCGTCGTGGGGGCTGCAGGCCGCCGGGCGCCGGGGTGCCCCGGGGGTGGTGCTGAGGGGACTACGGGTCCCGGCAGGCCCCGGGCGGGGCTCCGTCGCTCTGGCTCCTGGGGACGGGGTGGTGCGTCCGCTGAGGGGGGGTGCGGCAGGGACCGCGGCTCCCGGCGTGCTGCGCGCCAGCCCCGCCCGGCGCAGGGCCGAGGCCCCGATCCCTTTGTGTGTGGGGGAGCGGCCGCCATCGCCCCGCTTTGTGTGCGGGGCGGGCGGCGCGGCGGCCACTCCCTCCACCGGGCCTTGCCCTTCCCTTGGGCCGGGAAGCGGTGGTGCCTGGTTCGGCCCCTTTCCGGCCTTTGCGCTGTCATAGCGTAGGCCGCGGCCGGTGTGCTGGCCCCATCCCGCGCACCGCGGCCCCCGCTCGGAGCGCCGCTGGCCGGGGCTGCTTTTGGCACCGCCCCTCTGCCGGGCCCCGCTCTGCTCCGCGGCCTCCATCTTGCTGCAGCGCAGCCGGGAGGGCCGCGCCGGGCCCTGGAGGCTGCCGAGCCGCCATCGGCCTGAGGCCGGCACTCTGTTGTCTGGGTTAGTAACGAGCGCGGGGCTCTTCCCACATCCCTTTCAGAGAAAACGGATTTGGGGGGTTATGGTTATCTTTTAAACGATTCTGTATGTATATGTGCTTTTGCAGATCTAAGAATTCCGGGTTGGAAGGAACCTCAAAGATCATCTGGTCCAACCTCTCTAGGCAAACCATGACCTAGACTGGATGTCCCAACACTGTTCAGCTGAATAATAACAATGTCCAGTGATGGGGAATGCACCACTTCCCTGGGGAGGTTATTCCAATGGCTGGTTGTTCTCACTGAGAGAAATTCACTTGTGTCCAATTGGAATCTCACCAGGAACTTGTGCCCATCACTCCTCATCTTTTCCAAAGAACTCCTTGTCAAAAGGGAGTCTCTGTGGTCTTTGTAGACACCCTTTAGATACTGGAACAAATGTCTTTGGAAGTTCCTTAACTTTTTTCCCCCCATAGATGTTTGAGGGTTTTTTTTGATGTAAAATTGACTTCACTGACCCAGTATATAGATGTTGGTGGCTGATTTTGTAGCAGTCATGTATCAGTTGGGGCGCTCAGGCTAGTGTTTTGTGCTGCTTTCTGATAGTCATACAAAAATATGTGGAACAGTTTTATTTCCAAGTATCTAAGAGCTCTGTTGTGTGTGCATACTAAAAACACAAAGTCTTTAGACAACTTGGTTATAGTCATGTAAGAGATGGTTGTTTCCAGAAGCACACATAACATCCAGTAAAATGCATGTTCTTGAAGTTACCATTTCTTCCAAAGAAAAAGTGAGATAAGGCAGTGGTGGTAATCCAGCAGGTTCTGCTGTGAGCCTGGTGAGTGGTGGTAATCCAGCAGGTTCTGCTGTGAGCCTGGTGAGTGGTGGTAATCCAGCAGGTTCTGCTGTGAGCCTGTTTGAAGCTATGGCCAGCTTTATGTGACTTACTGTCAGTTAGCAAAATGTGCACCTGAAGGGCTTCAAGAACAGGATGTGTGTGGCTCTGCCCTGTCTGCATTAATCCTTTCAGCTGTAAATACACAAATGTGAACCTGGTGTAACTTGGGGGCTGGGCAGCTGCTTCGAGTGTTTACCATTTGGAGGAGTATTTATAGCAGCTGAATTAAAAAGTAAAGAATTTGAGGCAGACGCACACAGTGGGATTTTTTTACTTGAGTTGTGCTTGCTTGACAGCCCTCTGAACTGTGGTAAACCAGCCTTGTTACCAGATCAAACTGGCTTTTGAGGGAAAAGCTGATGCCTGACTCCATTACCTGATACAATCAGCTTTGGTCATCTTTGGGCAGAAGAGGGGTTTTGATTATTCTATGGAAATGTAATATATTCTATGTCCAGGAAAATGAGAAATGTAACATGATAGTTACAGCTCGAGTGGAGCTCTAATAATATCAGTATAATTAGATGAGAGAGAAGTACATGGATACTTTGTGCAGTTCCTGTGATACAGTGTAGGTCTGCTTCATTCCTCCTCAACTTGAGCAGGGAAGGGGATGCTCATTTGAGATCTGAAATGCTGTCCAAGAAATACTAGTATTTTGAAGGAGATTCTGATAACATTTGTGTGAATCTAATAGGGAGATTTGTGCAAAGTTTAGTGGTCCTGTTGTTTTTTGCAATACGTTCATGCCTTCTGATTTGTATGTTTTTATAATTGAATGTTTCACTGAAAATCTCTCAAACCAGATACTGGTTTGTACCACCCTCGTCCAGTTCCTTATTTAGCCTTGTTCCTGTATGTGGAATGGTCTGATGAGAACTTATTTCAGATGGAAGTTTTTCAGAGTGGTGACTAAAAGAAGGTGCCTCATCTGGAGGAGAGGTCATTGAAATACCAACTTGTGTGAAAACCAGGTGATGAGTTTGCACACAGCCATTGTGTGCTGCTGGGGCTTAGAGTTCTAATTTGTAATAGCTGCCTGCAGTCAGCGTTTTCTCTATGAGGAAAGTTAAATGCTTTTACATTCATGTTTCAGTCACTGAAGTCGACTCTCACATTCACTGAAGGGAATTCAGAGGTAGATGTAGATTGTGAAATCCTTTTCCCCCACTGCAGTGGAGAAATGGACTTTGTTCATATTTTTTCTTATTTGGTGTGGGACTTGTGAAATGGTTTGGGAAGAGTTGTGTTCTGATGCTTTACACCTTTAGATTATTGCAGAATATTGTATTTTATCCATAGAGTCATAGTTACAAGAATCTCCTCCCTTTTTTTCTCCTGTATCTACTGAGCAAGCAACAAACTCAAATCAAAACTGATTTTTATTTCTCTTTCAAAAAAGTTTGTTTCTGTAAGATTCAGTTTCATGTAGTAGTGGCGCTTTCTTATGAAGACACAAAGTAATCTAGCTACTGTTGTAGAGAGGCTTCTCTGTTGTGTTGGCTATACAAGTATTAACTATATGTGATTAGTATTTTGCAGACACTATCTTAAGACGTCCAGAGACTAGTTCTGCAGTTCTTACATGCTGTGTAGGGTGCATACATCTGTACTTAGTTTGGGGTTTTTTTGTACACAAAGGTAAAGGTGCTTCAGGTATTGTTAGTCCTTGACTTGCGTTTTGCAACAAAAACTATTCCTCCCCACACAGACACCCTGCTGCTACACTGAAAGTCTGTGCAAGCACTTAGTAATTAAATTATGGGGCAGCATATAAAATAATTGATAGGAGGATTAAGACTTGTATTATCAAATGAAGTTGCTGTTTTAATTGTACCTTTCCTGAAATGCCCACCTGCATGCAGATCTTAGAATGGGAAATGCCTCCTCTCTGGCTTGGAGATAGTTTCTCGTAAAACAAAGCTGAAAATGGGAATGCTGAATATATCTTTGCCTAGCGTGGATCACACCTGCAGTATTAAGGTAGAGGGCCTGCACCTCTTTGTGGGAACACCTGGGCTGATATAGAATTTTTTTTTAAAGTGATACTTTGTGTCTTTCCCCCTTCTCCAGTATGAAGTGGAACAGAACAGAATTTACCACCTGAAACTGCTGCTTCAAGTTTAGATCAGGAAAAGAATATACCACATTGTAACAACTCAAGACCAAAGAAGAGGAAACTTACACTGAAGACACAAGGCTTGATCTGAAACAAGAAGTTTGTGCCTACTCAACAGCTTCAAAAGAGCACGTCCCAACGCTGCTAGTAGTCTTTTTCTCCAGTGCTGTATTGAAACTGCCAAAGGGCAGCAGCACTTGTATTCTCTATTAGCTTAATAGATCAAGTTCTCTTGCTATCTTTTTTTCTTTCTTTCTCTCTCATTTTCCTTATTTTTTTAAATAATAGCAGTCTTCATCCTTAGAAACTTGTGCTGAAACAGAAGAATCGGCTAATACTACTGAAAGTGCAATATTTGAATATCGCTGCGAGGTTGGTGTGCATATATAAAGGTTTTATATATATATTTCAGAACTTAATAGGAAATAAGTTGCCAACAGGATGTATGTTGGTTTTTACTGTTATGTTGGCTTTTTAGTATATAACAAATTAATAGTACTTGCAATATTCTTCTAGTTAATGATGCTTATAACCCTAGAGAGCTGGTTATTAATGTTTCTGGCCTCTAGTAATGGTAGTGTTGTGATTCAAATCCCTTCTTTTCAAATAACTACTTATTTAAAAGTCAGCTGTTGGGAGTCAGCTGTTGGCATAGTTGGGCAATCATGATGCAGTAGAGAGCCATTATATTGTAGGTCCAAGTAATTAATAGGTAGTAGCCTATTACTAGAAGCTTCTTAAAGCACAATTTTATGACAGTACTCCTGGTGATCTGTATAAATGGATGTTGTATTTGACTTTTTTGTTATGCTCTTTTTTAACATGCTTGCACAGGTCTGGGAATATCACAAGCATCTGGGAAGGCTGCTGATACTATAATGTGTCCTTCTCTTTACAACAGAGTTTAGTGCCGCCCTGAGGAGTGTATCTTTGAACTTAAGATATCAGACTTTAGAATATTGATGAGTTCTTTGTGCTGTGCTACTAATGCTTCTTGAAATACTATGCTACTAATACTCGTATGGTTTATATATTGCAGTGATGGTGACAGGAACTAGTCTAACTCTCAGCAACTTTGCATAGTAGTTTTTTTTGTTAGATATTCTGAGAAAATGTGGCCTTTAACCATAATCCACTTCATAAAGGGAGAGTCAACACCTGTGACTTTCATCCTTTGAGCAGCTCAGGCTGCACATGAGACATCTTTGCTGAGAAAGTAGCACAGCACTGCAACAGTTAACTCAGAAAGGTGGCGGAACTTCTGCCATTGGAGGTTTTTAGCTCAGTTAGACAAAGCCTTGGCTGCCTTTGTCTGGTGGCTAGAGGCTGAAGAGGATGAAGGAGAGTTCTCCAGGGGTCTCTGCCTGGCCCAAGTTTTTTGAGTCACTATTTTATGACGTGTTTGTACTTTTGACTTGAACATGTGAGAGTAGTGCTTTGTGCCAGATAGTGCAGGTTTGTAGGGTATCTTGATACCCGAGGCCCTCTAATTGTAAGCTAAGAGGGCAGTTTAGATGAAAATCAAGAGATTGAGTAGCTGCTTGTCTGTAACACTGGGGCTTATCATGCCAGTTTAACAGATAATGCTGCATTTTACTGTTTGTCTTCTTCTAGAAGACATTATGTAATCACTTGGCTACTTAATTTTGGGACAGTATGTAGGCTATCATTCTGAGTATGGTGGCAATAAAATTGATACCTAACCTGGCTGTGAACCAAATGTTCACATAGAAGTTACATGCTTTGCTTCATATTTATAAACTACCATGTTGCAGTGTGTTCTTGCACTGGTGTTATGGTTCTGTGTTGAAATAGAATGTTTTTCATTCTCCTAAAGTTTTTGACAGTGTCAAAGGTGCCTGAAGAGACACATCCCTAAAGCTGGTAGCAAATTATAGTACATTACATCAGGCAAAGTAGGAAAGGATTAAAACAAGTAAACTCTGTTGGTTCTAGGTTTGCAGGTTCTGTGGAATTTGCCTCAAGATTGCAATGCGGAGAGATGTCAGGAATCTCTTAACTAGTGGGGTGTTAATTTCATAACACTGAAAAAATGTTTAAGCACTTAAAACCTTTTTTAGGTATGAAAGGCTGAACAAAGAAAGCAGGGACAAACTTTGCAGGGATGTCAAACTGAATCTGTTGGTTCAGAACTGTTGCATTTTTCCTAAACCTGCTTAATTTGGAAGAGCAGATATTTCAGGTATTTCCTGGCTCTCGTGTGAAACAGTGAATGTGGGAGTACTTTGAGGTGCAGTGCTTCAGAAAGTCAGGAGTTTGGTTTGGTCTAAACAATATTTTGGTGTTGTATTTCTGGCCTGTTTTATAAATATGTTGCCTATCTAAAGATGATTGTTTTGCAAAAGCTTGACTGTTTTGGTGCTCTAGAATTTGCTTGTTACAGTAACTTCTACAAGCCCTTTGTGTTTCTGTTAATAATAGTTACTGTATTATGTGGGCATGGAGAAAACAAACCTATTTTAAGTCAATAAGTGGGTTTTGTGTTTTTTTTTTCCCTCCCTATGTTTTCTTTTAACCAGATGAGCTTTGATCCAAACCTGCTCCACAACAATGGACACAACGGGTACCCCAATGGTACTTCGGCAGCACTGCGTGAGACTGGGGTTATAGAAAAACTGCTGACCTCTTATGGCTTCATTCAGTGTTCAGAACGGCAAGCTAGACTGTTCTTCCACTGTTCCCAGTATAATGGCAACTTACAGGAGCTCAAAGTAGGAGGTAATGAGGCAACTTCCAGAGCTTCTTGAGTGAAGACCAGGCTCTTTCACTTGCCGTAGAAAATACTTCTGTCTTATGGCATGATCACATGGGTGCTGTGGCTTCTGGTGGGCTAAGAGACAACTGAACTAACCCACCACTCCTGATGAGAGACATTTGCAACACTTAAGCTTTGTGCAGCTTGCATTAATGTAGTTGTGACCATTCTGACAGAGGTATGGTGTTAGGTCAAAATTGCATAACTGAGATGGAAACAAGTGCTTTGACTGTTTCTTCTTTAGAATTAAATTAATTCTTGAGTATGGCCAGTTGTGTTTCAGAATGGGCAGGCTGCTACTTCACGCTACTGATTAATGTGGCAATGAAGGTTCTAAACTTTTGAATGGCATGTGTTATGTTGTCTGAACTTCCATTTGAACTCTACTTTACAGTGAGCAGGGCAGGAGGAGGGAATAACTCAGGGGCAAGCCATTGCAGTAGAGTAGTTTGTTAGCAGCAGGAGTGAATAACCAGGGAAATATTTGCAAATAGTGTGTCCTTGCTTAGTAACAAGACTTTGTGTTTGGCTACACACTTTACTGAGATTTTACTTTGTGTTTGGCTGCAAGCAGTGGATTAGCACATGTCACCATTAAGTGATTTTAAAAACCCAAAACAAAACCCCTAAACAAAACTGTGTCACCATTATTGTGTGTTTGTCTTGTAGATGATGTTGAGTTTGAAGTGTCTTCTGACCGCCGAACTGGAAAACCCATTGCTATTAAATTGGTGAAGATAAAACCAGAAATATTACCTGAAGAACGAATAAATGGACAAGTTAGTGCCTGTTTGCTATGCATGCGTAATTTCCACGCTTCACTCCAGTACTGAAGGCTAAATTCATTTAGCATGCATATAGCCAAATATGGTGTACTGTTACACTGAAACATATCTTTGTTCTGGTAAAAATATCAGAGGTTCTGTTTGAGCTCTTCCTTAGCTCCAAACAATTCTTACAGTCGCTAGATGCTCTGTAAAAGTGAAACTTGGCAACATGGCATTCCCTGTTGCACGCTAGAAGTGCATCCGTGAGTGTATAGTAGGGGATATTGAGATTCATGTTGTATTCAACAGTGCTGCTTGTGCAATGACTAGCAATGGATTTTATTTGTTTTTGGCTGGTAGGTTGTGTGCGCTGTTCCTCACAATTTAGAGAGTAAATCTCCAGCTGCCCCGGGTCAGAGTCCAACAGGGAGTGTATGCTACGAACGTAATGGGGTAAAGCTTGTATATTTTACTTGAACTCTTCACTGGTCCATCACTGTGGTCTATGAGCAAAACATGTGATGCAATTTATAATGTAGACAGCTGACATTGCTAAGAGCTTTAGTTCTTGGCCAAAACCCCCCATGCTTTGGTAATTACTACAAGCAAAAATGTTAATTCCACAGCTTGCTAGCTTATATCTGTGGAGAACTTTATAAAGTCACAAAGTTGTTTCTTCTCTTTTAAAACCTAATGAAGCTGGGTTTGTAATGTTCATGTATCCTTACCTTGAAGACTGAAGTTTAGAAACTGACATTTCAAGATGGCCACATAAAAACTTTTCAACTTAAGTTGCTTGTTAAAAACTCATCCAAGCAGCATGATGGGGAAAAAGGAATGGTTTTGCATGCCATGTTTGAGCATTTTCCATTTTCTCAACTCAATTTTTTTAGTGCAGGTATCGTTATTAAAACTGTGTTAATCTTTCTTTGAAGCTGCTGTTCTGCAAATACGAAGTAATAATGTCAGTCAATGTTAATTTACAGGAAGTATTTTACCTGACTTACACCCCAGAGGACGTTGAAGGAAATGTACAGCTGGAAACAGGAGATAAAATCAACTTTATAATTGATACAAATAAACAGTAAGTTGGTATTGCTTTTCTGCCTTTGTACTTTGGGTAGTAGGCAGGCGGAATTAATGCCTGTTCCAAGAATTGAAATGACATTATGAAGTAATCTTCATTTTTGCTGCAGTTTTAAGTTATTTCAGGTTTGCTCTGTTTACTTTTTTCCTCTCTAGTACTGGTGCTGTAAGTGCTCGTAACATTATGCTACTAAAAAAGAAACAAGCCCGCTGTCAAGGAGTAGTCTGTGCCATGAAAGTAAGTGGTGCTTCAGCTTTCAAGTTTCCTTAGAAAATGAAATGCTGTTCTGAAAAGTGGTATTATAAGTAATACATTTAGGGCACTGAGAGCTATTAACAACTTGGAGCTGTGGGTGTAAACTGGGTGAAACAGCTGATCTTTGATACAAATCTTAACAACTTAAGTCTTACTTATTTCCATTTGTATCTTAATTTCTCATGGTTGTCTGTTTGCTGTGTGCACTTACGAATCTGCTCTGCTGGTGTGTCATAGTCTTTTATTGTCTTTGATAGAACTTGCTCTGTTAAGAGAATAGGCAATTTATTAAGCACTCTGTTCTGTTCTTAGGAAGCCTTTGGATTTATTGAGAGGGGTGATGTCGTGAAGGAGATATTCTTTCACTACAGTGAATTTAAAGGTGACCTAGAAGCCTTACAGCCTGGTGATGATGTGGAGTTTACAATCAAAGACAGAAATGTAAGATGAAATCCAGTAAAAACTGAAGACAAGATGGTAGAGCATAACTGGACAGCTGTCTGTTTTCTCAAATTTACTTGTAAAAGGAGGGAGGAGGTTCATGGGAGAATGGCTCTTTACCTCATCTCTATGGGTATCTGACTGATTTTGTGCTTTTAGGGTAAAGAAGTTGCAACAGATGTTAGACTGCTGCCTCAAGGAACTGTCATTTTTGAAGATATCAGCATTGAACATTTTGAAGGAACTGTAACCAAAGTAATTCCAAAAGTACCCAGCAAAAACCAGGTGAATTTCAGTATTTACTGAAGTTTATGTGAAATGTTTGATTGTATTGAATTCCAGTCCAGCAGTAAGTGTTCCCTTTCCCTGTAACAGTCTGCTGCATAAGCATTGTGTCAGAGTGAAGGACTAAGTTTGGGCTTAACCTGTTACAACCACTCATAGCAGTCACAGTACACAATTTTTCTAAAGATGATGAAAAGCAAGAATTAGGGTACTGCTACACTGGGGAGTGTTTTCTTTAATGTTTCACATACTTCCCATTGAATTTAATTAGTTTAGGATGAGTCTTTAAGGCAAAAGAGTAGGGAAAAGGGGAGAAAATACTTGCTGGAAATGTCTATCTTGGGATTCCTGTGGAGATTAACACTTAAAGACATGTTTGACAGATAACTTGACCATTAATCTTTGCCTTAGAGGAAAGAGCACTTCCCTTATGGCTTTAGGCCAGTCTGCATTGTTGTTTTGGGAGGGGTTGGGGTGGGGTTTCTTGCGTGTTTTGAACACTTGGTAAGACTCTGCTTTTTGGAAGTGTTGTAAGCATGGTTATAAACTCAATTCTTGAAATAGTCTTGATTTCTTTGGCAATAACATGCTTGGTGCTTCAAATAAAATACCCAAACCAGCAAACCACAACAAAGACACCTTTAATTTGGCTATATACAGCAAATTTCAAATGAGGAGTGGTAGAAATGGAACATAGTGGTTTGAGTCCAGCAGGCACTTGGTGTCATCCATACTTCTGTTAGAATAGCTGGCAGAAATACCAATGCTGTCTGCAGTTATGTTGACTCTTGCAGGTGAACTAATGTCTTCTGTTGGGTGTTCTGCCTATAGAGTGATCCATTACCTGGCCGCATCAAAGTTGACTTTGTGATTCCTAAAGAACTTCCATTTGGAGACAAAGATACAAAATCCAAGGTGACCTTGCTGGAAAGTGACCACGTTCGATTCAATATTTCAACAGACAGACGTGACAAACTGGAACGAGCCACCAATATTGAGGTTCTTCCCAATACTTTCCAGTTTACCAATGAAACTAGGGAAATGGCAAGTATCTCTTTTAATTCTTATGGGGAGGTGAAAGTAAAACATGGGGAGGGTTTTGTCTTAAACAGTAACTTCAATGTAAAAATCACTGGTGTGTTCCATTGCCTTTTCTGAAATCCTTAGATATAAGACTAAAATGGATGTGCTAATCAGTATTATAGAGTATCTTTCATTCCTGTAATTTGGAATACTGGTTCTGTTCCAGCTACGCTGTAAGTTTGCCTTCCTTTTCAACTGAAGACCAGTTACATACCAGTGTGATAAGACTGTGATTAGGGAGCCTTTGCTTTAAGAAAACAACTGAACTTCAGCCTCTTGCGTTTTGGCTTTCTATCCTACAGACTTATGTTTCTACTATGGCCAGATATAGTTGCTTGCCTGAACTGAGTTCTCATTGGGCTGACAATTGTTAGCTGAATAGGAGCTAGGAAAGCTCAGGATGTTATGTAAGAGAATGTTCTCAAAGGTGGAAATTGTTTGCGTTGCCATTTAAGTCTTATAAGCCTTTGCTGAGACTTGCTAAAGGATCTGTAGGCACTGGGTTGAACTGAGCATGCTTGTCAATTCTGTCTTGCTCTGTGCCTCTGGCAGGATCTTGTTTTAGTTCTTCCCAACTTGAATAATGAATTATTTCAGCAATTTCATTTGTCTGGAAATCTGATGGGCTTTCTCTTAAACTTCTGTTTGACCATTGCTTTTATTTTCTCTTTATATAAGTTCTTGTATGTTTAGTTTGCATTTATGTGCTTTATATGTATGACTTTGTAGAGCTGTTCTCTGTGTACTAATAGTGCCACGTTCCTTAAGTGTAGTAGTTCTTGTTAATGGCTTAATCTTTTCCATGTCACGCTTAAGAAGAAATTGAGAAACCAGGTAAGTACAACTTATTTGCATTTCACATTGACCATAGCTATTAACACTACAGTTTGCAAGGCAGCGTATTGCATAAACAAATAAATGTTTTCATAGGATTCAGGCCTTGTGTCCAGATTATTATGTACTCCTCAGAGACAGATGGAGTACCTGCAGACAGGTGTCACATAGAACTAAAACTGTAATTGTCCCTTTGACTGTTACCAGGGTGTGATTGCAGCAATGAGAGATGGCTTTGGCTTCATTAAATGTGTGGACCGGGATGCTCGCATGTTCTTTCACTTCAGTGAAATTATGGATGGGAATCAACTCCATATTTCTGATGAAGTAGAATTTACTGTTGTTCCTGTAAGTGAGATTAATACTTCTGAGAAATCTTTACTTTTAAAAGGTATTACATACAGTCTGTCTACAGTCAGATTGATCCTGTTTTCCAGGATATGTTGTCTGCCCAAAGAAATCATGCTATAAGGATTAAGAAGCTTCCAAAGGGCACGGTTTCTTTTCACACCCAATCAGACCATCGTTTTGTGGGCACTATAGACAAAGAAGCCACTCCAGCCAAAGCCGCTAGCCCAAATAAAGGCAAAGAGAAGGTAATGCTTCTACTTGCTAATGCTCTTCTACTTGTGGAGTACCTGTTCTTCATCCCTGGCTTTGAAGCCTGAGGCTGTTTGCTTAAAAATCTAATTCCATTTCTTGAAGCACTCTTACTCCTGTATAAATGTGAAATACATTGAATAGCCAACAACAGCAGTCAGCACAAACTAACCTGTGTGAAACAAGGTAAGAAAAAAATCATTAATGATTATGTTATTGAGGGTAACTTCCAGGAACTTTGGTAAGAAGTTTCTTTCTACCTTCTACTCTGTAAGATACTAGATAGAATAAAAAAATAAAGCTTCTGGGGCTAGAGGAGAACCTCTGCTTTGTCAGGTTGTTATAAACAATACCAGAATACTTAAACTGCCACTGAGTGCGTACTGGAAATAGTAGTAATACTTTTCTTTCCTTTACTGTATTATTTAAAGCTTCTTAAAGTCATTTGCTCTGTTGCGTTTTTCACCTGTTACTGTCAAACCACTGTGGCTCAAATGATCAGTGCTCGAATTGTACACAGGGAACTTGCTCACTTACAAGAGACACTGATTGCTGAATTCTGATGTCTTATTTTTAGGAGGCTGAGGATGGAATAATTGTTTATGATGACTGTGGAGTAAAACTGACCATTCCTTACCAGGCCAAGGATGTGGAAGGATCTGCTAATCCCCAGATAGGAGATAAGGCAATATAACTAAGTATACCATTGGGAAATAATTTCTTTCTGTGCAGTGTGAGGTGGGAGCTTCTCTTTGCCTTGTTACTGGATTTGCTCTCCCTCTTGGAACAAATGAAGGGCAAGGCATCTGCATAATGCTACCAGTTTCCTCTGTCCTAGGTTTGAGGTGCTTAATATATTGTATACCTAAGAATAATATCCTGAAATCTGGTGATATATATGTGAAAATAGTGTCCTAATGCATAAATGAAGCTTTTAAAACAAGGAATTCTTATCATCAAGACACTGGGCTCTGCTTGGGAATAATTAAGAGGAAATCAGCATAGGGATTTTGAGATGAATGGTGAAGAGGGAGAACATATGGTTTAGAGCGAGGTGTCCCTGCCCATGGCAGGGGGTTGGAACTTGATGATCTTAAGGCCCTTTCCAACCCTAACTATTCTATGATTCTATGAGCAACTTAGCATGAGGGATAATGGAAAGGGAAAAAGAGCTTGGAGATCTGGAAGAGCAGCCTAAAAACTGCCAGTGCTCAGCTGTACTAGGAAGGCACCAAATACTATCTTTAAAAACCTGAAACAAGTGGATGAAGCTCAGTACATGTTCACTGGGGGCTACTAATGGTAAGTGTAGTGTAAGGAGGCAAATCACAGGAACAGAAAGATTCTCATCTATAATGGGTAAAAAGCTGAGTGCTGGAGGCTGGCTTGCCTTGCTGGTACTGCTAGTTGTGACTGCTGCTCTTTGGAATGTAGTAAATGTCAATGACTGACAGATGTTTCTGTGAGTGTAGTGGCTAGAAAACTGCTTCCCTGGTGAGTGTAGGTGTTGATTAGACCTACACAGCTTTGAAATGAGTTGGTTTGGGGCTTTTTTTTTTTTTTTTTTTTTTTTTGCAGTGGTGGTTTCTTTGGGTTTTTTCTATCTAGTATTGACATGCACCTCTTCAACAGGTTGAGTTCTGTGTGTGTGAAGTGAAGAGAACTGGTTTGCAGACAGCTGTTTCCGTCAGGATGCTAGGACGCAATTACAGCTCAAAGAGGCTTTTGGGATATGTGGCAGCCCTGAAAGATAACTTTGGATTTATTGAAACAGCAAATCATGATAAGGAGATCTTTTTCCACTACAGGTGAATGACAGTTTATTATTACTTGCTTGTTTGTGTGGGTTTGTTTGGTTGGGGCCAAAGTTTTTTGGGTTTACTGTTAAACCCATCTGGACTTCACAAACACCTATGTGTTAGGTATTTCAAGTTCCATTTATTATCTTTGCTGGACTGGTTCAGGCTTTTCTATTTAGTCAGCAGCCTTGGTATTCTATCCCTGTGAATCCCAGGCCACAAAATACAGTTAATTGTATATTTGAAATGCTTCATGGAATGGGAGGTACTGAACTAGTTAAGTAGTTTCTGATCAACCTATGTAAATGTTGAATGAATGTCATGTTTTTAATAACTGAAGGAAAGTTGTCCATAATTCTGTTTGTCTAGTGAATACTGTGGTGATATTGATAGCCTGGAACTTGGAGACACTGTTGAATACAGCTTGTCAAAAGGCAAAGGAAACAAAGTTAGTGCAGAAAAGGTGAACAAAACACATGCAGGTAAGACTCTGCCTGGTATTTTCTGCTTACAAGGCTCCTGGCAGGTGTGGATGGATAAAGTTTGTTAATAATCCATTTACAGCTGCAGCTTAGATCAACAGGATGATGCTTAACATGGTGTTCATAGGTTTCTTGAAAGCTGTTGCTTATGTTTCCAGATAACAGACAAGTGTAGACCAACAGTCCTGTGGACAGTAGCAACTCTTTAGACCTTTATTGTACTTTGTCCTCTTCAATTCAAGGGTTATAACAGGAGAGCTAGTGGCAGAACAAGCCAAATTAATAATTGCCCTAACTGTGCTGTGCCTTGCAGGAGGTATGCAGCTGGGGTTATTAAGGACTTGGGGACAAAGAAAAAGCATACTTGAAGGTTACTGAATGGTTAAAATACATGGGGAATGGGAACGCAGTGGAAAAGAAGTAAAATACTTTGATTCAGTGGTCTCTGGTTTCACAAAAAAGTAGGGATTTTTTGCTTCAGTGTTTGAAATATCAGTGTGGTCTCTATTAGAAAAGCTGTCGTTACTGCTGTGTTAAAGCTGTTCCAGTGCTAGTGGGTGATAGTGCACTGCCTTCAGTGTCTTGCAGTGCAAACTAGTTTAAAAAGAGGGAATTGTTGACCACTAAAGTATGAAAAGAACATCCTGTTTTTCCGTTGTCTGTTTTCAGTGAATGGTATCACTGAAGAAGCTGATCCAACTGTTTACTCTGGTAAAGTAATTCGTCCTTTGAGGAGTGTAGATCCCACACAGACTGAATACCAGGGCATGATTGAAGTCATGGAGGATGGTAAGATTTCAAGTTACAAGAGTTCTTTTCACAAATGCACAGGAAGTATAGAAGCTTAATAAACTGTAAATAGAGGTGTCAATAGATATCTTACAGAGTATATTCATACTACTAAGCTGATAGTAAAAGCAGCATTTCTAATAACAGAAATAAGTTCTGAATGCCTTCAGGTAGGAAGGGATGCCTGTCAATTGTCCTGTGCTTTTTCCTCCTCTAGGTGAGATGAAGGGAGAGGTTTATCCATTTGGAATTGTTGGAATGGCAAACAAAGGTGACTGTCTGCAAAAGGGAGAGACTGTAAAGTTTCAGCTCTGTGTTCTTGGTCAAAATGGGCAGACAATGGCTGTTAACATCACACCATTCCGCAGAGCCACGGTGGAATGTGTGAAAGATCAGGTGAGTGATGTATATTCACAGGAAATACCAGTTAACATGGCATAGAGCAGATGAAAACCCACTTCAGCACTTTAATCCAGGAATCTTGTTGGGCAGGGATGGATTGCTTTGTGTGCTGGTCCTAGGGAAGCAGGTTTGTGTCACCCAGGCACTGGCTTATGCAAACCTGTGTCATGTGGCTTCAGGGAAGGTGAACACAGTACTTGGTTCTGCTGGTTCATTGGTGCTATTGGGCAGCAGTTCCTGACCAGAATCAGTTGATTCTGAATGCCTGTTTCTGGGATGTCCTAGAAATTCTTCTAACTAGTTTTTGCTGAACAGGGTGTTTAAAAAAAGGTTTCAAAAAGAAACAAAGTGGTGCAAACTCTGCTTCTGGAAGCTGCTTCCCAGCATTAAGCAGACAGTGCTTGCAGACCACCTGAAACATGAATGATAATGGTAAACTGGCCAGCTGCATCTCACAATTCTTTGAAAATTAAGTGCTGTGGATGCTTTCTGATTTTACAGCTATTCTGCAGCACTAAGCTCTAGTCATTGCCAGAGGGAGTGAGTTTTGCCAAGTAAAATGGTGAATGGGGGTAACTGACTACTTACACCAAAGATAGACCAACAAGTGGAGTAGTTTCTGCTGTATAAGGAGCAGTCTTGGAAAAGAACATGCAGCAGCACTCTTCAGTTTAATACTGAGAATGTTGCCAGGACTTTGGCAGGTTTAAAAACTTGTTCTATAGGTTTTGGGGTTTAAATGTGACTTTACCAACTCAAAAGTGCCTAGACTTCCACAAGTATTGTTTCCAGCAGAATGTTCTGATCAGTGTAGAAATTGTATTTCCACTTCTAAAAGTCATTAAACTGCAGTAATGAGTAAGTCATTGAATCTGTTCAGATCCAGAGGGGAAAAAAAATAACCTTGTGATATGTTGTTTTCAGTTTGGTTTCATTAATTATGAAGTGGGTGACAGCAAAAAGCTCTTCTTCCATGTCAAAGAAGTGCAGGATGGTGTGGAGCTGCAGGCTGGGGATGAAGTGGAGTTCTCTGTAATCCTGAACCAGCGCACAGGAAAATGCAGTGCCTGTAACGTATGGCGTGTCTGGTGAGGATTTACAGTTCAAGTGACTTAATCTGGCATCATGTCTGCATCACAGCAGGCTGGTGCAAGCCTCTTCTAAACTGAGCTGTTCCTAGATTGGGAGCTCTGAACTTCTGGCTTTAGTGAGAACTTCTCACCCAAGAGCTGCCATTATTTAGAGATGTTGATGCTATACCATTATGTACTGGCCACTTGTAAGCCTTTTATTGTTGCAGTTAAAGGAAACAAATGTAGGAAATGCTACTTAGATGTGCATGAGAGTAAATGCAACACCTCTACTCAGTACAGAATACCCTTTTGAGGAGCTTGAGCTACTGCTATTTTGTAGCCCTGTGCCTTAAAGTAATGGTTTTGAAGCAGAATTGTGTGGCATCACTGAGGTCTGCTTTTGCACAGGATGGGTGATACTAATGGGGACAGCGAATAGCTTGTACCACCTCTGGGAAGTGACCCATACTCTCTGTGGCTGACTCTGTTACAGTGAAGGCGCGAAGGCTGTCGCTGCCCCACGTCCTGACAGACTCGTTAATCGTTTAAAGAGCATTAATCTGGATGATGCCAATGCTCCTCGGCTCACAGTTCTTCGTCAGCCTCGGGGACCGGATAATTCAAAGGTATGTAAGTTAAAAGGCTGCATTGTAGAGTAACTGCAGTTTGGGTTTGAACTTGAATGACATAAAATTGACTCCTCTGTTGGAAACCTGAATGGTTGGAAGCACAGTGTCCACCTTCATTCCGTAGTGAATGACTCACCTGCTGTGAGAGATAAGATTATTTCTACATGATGTCAGGGTGCTGTCCCCTGTGTCAATCAATCATGTGTGCTGTGGTTTGAAGAGCATGCGGTATCAAAGCAGCCAGTTGCAGCTTGTGTTCTAACACCTGATGGCTCTCCAGGTTTGTTTATAAACCTCCTGCTCCCCTTCTCAGAGACAGTGAAATGTCTTCACATCAATTTGGCTTTCACAGGAGGTTCTGCCACCACTCGATAAACAGAAGTGAAGTGGCTGGAATCTCTTGGGGCACCCAGGGACCCACAGAACCTGTACTGTCTGTTTCTAAAGCCAAACGTAGCTAATTAGAAGAAGCATGCTCAGTCAGTCCTGGATTGGAAAACAACACAGGTTGACTTTACAGTGTGAGGCTGGAGCTAAAAGTTACTTGTGTTTTCCTTGCAGGGATTTGGTGCAGAGAGAAAGATCCGCCAGGCTGGTGTTATAGACTGATCCTCAAAGCCCATCCCTGATAAACGGCTGAGTGCTGGGGGCTGGTGAAGGGTACTGAATATCTCCCTGTTAATCCCTTCCTCCAAATTCTAAGAAGCTATTACACCGGTTTTAACACCCTCTCATGTTATGTTTAAAATAAACTTATGAAACCATTTTAAAATTATGCACAGTTGCATTCTGGAAAACTTTAAGGTGGCGCCTTTATAGTATCACATTTTAGAAGCTTGTTTTGAATGGTGCATTTAAACGCAACTGGTTACTGCAAATCTACGTTGCCTCTGTGAGTATAAACAATGAGAGCTCGACTCGGGTAGACCTTATGGAATTCTGCACTACAGTTCTCTTTCCTTTGTTATCTTGGCTGAGGCGTTCCTATGCCTTAGTGAATGACTGCGTTGTGTCCACTTCCTAGTGGAAGTGGAGGCTCCCTTCAGCTCACTGCTCCACTCCCAAGGACTATGTCAGGGTGGAATCAGTGCAACTTGATACAAATCTGAACATTCAGCTAAGTTGGTGGCCAAATGTTCCAATGTTTTCCTGTTTCATTTAACTTCAGTCCTTTCGCCCAATGAGAGCCGCTTTCTGAGTTTCACCTTGTGTTTGTAGCGTTCAGAACCACGTGCAGTGCAGAATTTCCTAAGGCTGAGGTGTGCCATCAGTGTGGTAATTTAAATATACTTCAAACAATGCACAAATCTGCTGCTTCCACCACTGCAGCTTCCACGCCCCCTTTTCGTTGACTGATTTAATCTGAAACAAAGGACAAAGTTGTGCCTGAAGTGAATACTTTTTTTTTTCCTCTTTTTTTTTTTTGCAGCCAGCACCATGTACTGTAACAGAATAAATACTCCTTTAGGCTTCCCATACTAGCTGTACCGAGCCTTTCATCGGGGTGGGATAGTTGATCTCTGTGTGCTTTATTTTGCGCCCCCGGCCCCTTCCCCCTATGTTCCCCTTACACTTCATCATCAAGAAACCGGATTGATCGGTCTGAGTCTTATTTACCCAACAGGATCAGGAGTTACCGCTCGGGATCGAGGCGAGTTCCGGGGTTTGGGTTTGGTTTCCTTCAGTTTTGGGGTTGTTTTTGTTTTGTCACGTTACCTCTCTTCTCGCTGTAGGGGTCTCTCGGGGAGCCGCGTTACCTTTGTAAACCGGACGTTGCTTTCTCCAGGTTTTTCTGTTAACGGCAAAGAATGGAAATAGAATAAAGTTTTACTGATTTTGAGACAAAACGAACCTTCCTCCCGCCCGTCTCTTCCTTCCCACCGGGGGGGGGGCCGGGGGTGAAGGGAAGCCGTGCCGGCAGCACGTGTCCGGAAGTAGCTGTCCTCCGCCGCCGCGCTTCCGGCGGTGGGTGATGACGCGAAGGCGGCGGCGGAAGGCGGAAGCGGCGGAGGGCGGCGGGACGCGCCGCGGGGCGGCCGGGGCCCGCAATGACCGAGTACAAGCTGGTGGTGGTGGGCGCTGGCGGCGTCGGGAAGAGCGCGCTCACCATCCAGCTCATCCAGAACCACTTCGTGGACGAGTACGACCCCACCATCGAGGTGAGCCGCGGGGCCGGGCGGGGCGGCCGCCGCTCGCCTCACTCGTTTGGTTCCTGTGGGGCTGTGGCTAAAAGCAGCCGGTGCCGGCCCCGCGCGGCCCGGGGGGTGCGGAGGGGAAGCGGGAGGATTCGGGCCACTGAGTTGTATCGATACCGAGCACCCATTTAACGTTACCTTGTTAACGAGAAGAACGGGAGAAAGAATGAGAGACAAGGGAGAGAGAAGGGTTTATTCCCGTTATGCATCGGGTCGTGCTCGGAACAAGCCATTGCACTGCAGCCCCTGCGCGGCTCGGGAGCTGCAGGCACAAGTGGACCTGTAATCGCATGAATAGCTGGTAAATGCAGTGCTGGAGAACGCTTGGACTTGATGAGCTTAAAGGGCTTTTCCAGCCTGGTTGGTTTTATGATTCCAATGTAATACCCACATGTTCAGATAAGAATAGTTTATTGACTAAAGGGTTATATAATAACAGTGATAAGGAAAATAACGAGGGGAGGGACTATAAAACTAAAAGGGAAAATGAAAAAAAAAAAAAACAACAAACACGAGTGATGCCCAATACAATTGCTCAGGACCTGCAGACCAATACCCAGCCCAACCCCAGCAGCGATCAGTCCCTTCTGTGTAACTTCCCCCCAGTTTATATACTGGGCATGACGTGCTGTGGTATGCAATACCCCTTTGGCTAGTTTGGGTCAGGTGTCCTGTCCCTGCTTCCTCCCAGCAGAGGAGGAATTCTCTAGGAAGAGAATTAACTGTGCTACAGCTGAAACCAGGACACTCTTTCTAAGACTCCTTGCTGCCCAAGGCAGGGTGCAGGTAGGCACAATGGCAACAAAAGAAGTCATCAGTTGGTAGGTTGGAGATTCCAGTCGTGGTGCTGCAGTGATGGTGTTTATCATTTTTCTACCACTAAAGGATTTTCTTACAAACAGGACTCTGCATTTTAGTCAGAAAGGTTGAGGGGGACTAGAGCAACAGTTTAATCCCTTACAGTTCTTAATACTGGTGTATTTTTGTCAGGCAGGGCTAGAAAAGCTCCTGATTCGTGCTTCCCTTTATTCTTATTATATTTATTTTTTCCTTAAAACTGCCCGGGGTGGACAGAAGTCGAGCAGTGCTTTACCCTACAGTCTGCCTGTGTGTGTTCCAGGACTCGTACAGAAAGCAGGTGGTTATCGATGGCGAGACGTGCCTGTTGGACATCCTGGACACTGCGGGGCAGGAGGAGTACAGCGCCATGCGGGACCAGTACATGCGAACTGGGGAAGGATTCCTCTGTGTCTTTGCCATTAACAACAGTAAATCATTTGCTGATATTAACCTTTACAGGTATGACCAGGGGCTGTGCCACCGGAGCAGAGAACGGAAAAGGCACGAGACCCATTTGCTCTTAAATCCAGTGACGAGTAAATAATAGACAACTATTAAATCTCTCGGTTATTTGAGGAAGTTTTTCAAGCTTATCTGTGTTCTGTGTCAATGCTTGAGTAGTCTGTTGAGAATGGGGCACTTATCTGGGTGGTCATTTTAATCCAGTGACGTTTAGAGCACGCAGAACATGATCTCTAAGAAAATGGGCAAGGAGGCAAATGGTGAAGTTACATGTGGACAAGAAGATGAAGTGTAGGAATTTATTTGACATATTGCTGGAGTTTGGAACCCCTGAGTCCTGTCCAGCTTTAGTATCTATTTTTGTAGCACAAGGTTGGTTGAATATGAACTAAACAAGTCTTTATATTTTGAAAACAGTTCCTAACTTTTTAAAACTTGTCTTTTTTAAGAGAACAGATCAAGAGAGTGAAAGATTCGGATGACGTGCCAATGGTGCTAGTTGGGAACAAGTGTGATTTGCCCACAAGAACAGTAGACACAAAACAGGCTCAAGAATTAGCGAAAAGCTATGGAATCCCCTTCATAGAAACATCTGCTAAAACAAGACAGGTAAGATGCTTCTGTTCTCATCTGACCTCTTCCTGCATGATAAATGCAGAACAGTCTCACATTTTCCCATGTACTGTGGGCAGCCACAGCTTCATGTCTGTAAGGAGAGCTTCATTCTTCCCTGTGAGGGTGCTGGGGCGCTGGCACAGGGTGCCCAGAGAAGCTGTGGCTGCCCCATCCCTGGCAGTGCTCAAGGCCAGGTTGGACACAGGGGCTTGGAGCACCCTGCTCTAGTGGAAGGGGTCCCTGCCCGTGGCAGGGGTTGGAGCTGGAGTTGGCAGTATTGGATGTAAGGTCCCTTCAGCCCAAACCATTCCATGATTCTATGATCTGCTCTTGCTAGGGCATGGTCAGACTGCCATTAGTCATCACAGACTTGTTCAGTTTTCTTGGCTTCTTAACAAAGGCTTTGTAAAAGATTATGTGTACAGAAGGATTTCCCCAGTGGACTAATAGGTTTGTACAGAGCTGGACTGGATACATGGCCTTGTCTGGTCAGCCTGGTTCTACCCACAGCAGTGTGGACTGAAGCAGAAAAGCTGCAGTTATTAAGCAGCAGCCAGAAGATCCTAAGAATCCTAAACCAGAGATGATGAGTCAAGAAGTAATTTTACTGCACAGGACCCCTCTACAGTTACAGTTTGCTTGTCTCCTTTAATGGCTGTTCCTCTGAGTGTTTGCCTCTGAGGAGGAGTTAAGATCATAAGCCAAGAGTTTGGGACTTTAGTGCTAGTTTCTCCTTCTTATGAGCTATAGTATAAGTTGGCTACTACTCTTCCTGTATGGGTATGTCTTTCAACTATGTTAAGAGATTCTGGGATGCAAAGAATAGTCATTTCAAAAGCTTCAGGGAAGAAAATACTTCACCTGGATCCTTTGCATTCAGGGCGTGGAAGATGCTTTTTACACACTGGTGAGAGAGATCCGGCAGTACCGGATGAAAAAGCTCAACAGCAATGAGGATGGGAATCAAGGCTGCATGGGATTGTCCTGCATTGTGATGTGATAAGGTGAGCTTAATGTCAGTCTTCTATTACTGATCATTGTTGGTTTTTCTGTGTCATTTTGTCGGTGTCTCCTTCCTTTGGGAAATCATTCTGACTATTTGGAGAATATGTCATTTTTGTTTTATACACGAGAAGCACCTGAACTAGAAAGGGAACATGCACAGTTCTGCAGTCACCATTTGCTGGTGGTTGATTGACCCCTGAGCAGCTCAAGTGGTTTTGCTCTGGAGTATTTACTGTTTGAAGATTAACCAAATAAACTAATGCAAGTAATAAACTTTAGGAGTTCCCCAGCTGAAATTCTTTCCAGCAGTTACCTGAAAGATGTTGCTCATCACCAGACAAACAGGCAGATGAGTTGGGGACTGTTGCTCTGCGCATCACAAGGTGGAGAGCAGCTAATTAGAAATGCCTTTCTGTTCCAGATGCCAAGAATACGTGGTTCAGATGTAGCTGCTGGACAAGTCTCGATGCTACTTTATTGCGTCTCATGCTGATGCCCTGCAGTATTTTGGTGCCAGTGACCAGAATCTTGGTACCAGTTAATTAGCACAAGGTCCTTTTCTGTGCTCCATCTGAAGAGAACATCTGTGGCATCTACCTCCTTGCTCAGCTAACAGAGCAGTCGTATCTCTTGATGAACTGGGATTCTTTTCTCACTG